GGGATGGGAAAGGGGGAAGGGGAAGGGGAAGGAAGAAATTCAAGAAGGAAGGAGAGAGCGAGAAAGGAAGAAGGAAGGAAGGATGGACAGAAGGAATGGGGAGAAGGGGAAAGGGAAGGAAGAAAGAAATTAAAAAGGAAGGAAGGAGAGAGCAAGCAAGCAAGTGAGCATAATCTTTTATATAATTATCCTCATAGAACTAGAGATCTAGAGTGATGTTCATCAGAAAGTTAATTCTACTCAGATTTTATGTAGTTTTTTCCTTCTTCACAGCTTTTTGTATTTACAAAGTTCCTTTACACGACTCTGTATTATCATCCCCTAACAAATCTATTGAAAATGCTCATTTCACTTTTTGAGCAGGGTTATAGTTCAACCATCAGAGAATTTTTTTTAAAATAAACAAGAAACCTCTCACGTTTATCACCTTTTTAAAAAACAATACTCACTGTTCAAAGACCCAAACCTGTCATTACAGCAGCTTAGGATTACTTCCTTTTATCAGTAGTCAAGGTGCACTGAGCATGTGTGCATGTAAATACATTTAAATCCTTCAAGAGGTTACAGTTCCCCCCTCTTTGAATATTCTTATTCCTTTGATGCCTCTTTCATCATCTTCTTTTTCTCCCTCCCTGTATGTCCTCACATTCTCTCTGCTGTGTGCCATCAGATATTGGCTTAGCCTGCAATCCTCTCTATAATGTCAGGCAAAGCTTGGGGCAGCATTGAGGAAAGACTCTTGCAAATCTCAGTCTCAAAAATATTTGAAATACCCATCTCTGAGAGTCTTCTGCCAACGTTAGTCATAGCAGAAGCCAAGTTTACTACATTCCTCCACTTTGATGTTTTCACTCAAGTTCAGGAAGCTCAAATTCAGGAAGCTCTACAGTCCAACTATCACAGCTGCTCTCTGCTTATGAGGGTAATCTGGGCATCTAGCTAGCAATACAAATGACTTCTACAAATGACTATATATCTTCCTTCATATGTGCTGGTTTTTCTCTGTAAAAGCACCTTTCTCCAAGGGCCCTAAAACAGAATCCCATCGTTTTCAATTACTCATTCCCCTGACCATCAGAGAGATTCCCACTTCTCTGACATCTATCCTCTTACTGCCAAACTCATTTTTCCTTTAGAAACATACCAGATTTTGTGTCCTTCCTTTTTTTCTTTTCTAATTTGCCACACTATCATTAGATTGATCTTCTCCTGTGCTTTAGAAAACATCACTGACTTCCAAATGCTGACTAATAAAGAACAAACTTTTAATGCTAGTATTTCAATTTGCACATGACCTCCTGCTCTACTTCTCTAGGATTACTGCCCCCAATGTATAATCTTGTAATATTTCCAAAACTGTCTTCCTCAGCGTTCCAAGGGATGCCAAGACATTTAAGGAGGGATGGGAGTTTCACACACGTAATAATTTTGGGAATTGCTCCTTTTGTCCTACCTGGAATCTCGTCCCTTTAATTTCTCCCAAGATAATCATCCTACATTTAAAACCCAATTCAAAGGCCATCTCTTCCAAACTCTCACAGCACTATGGTTGTGGAGCAGCAAGTTAGCACATTCACCCATGGAATCACCTGTATTTTAGTCATTCACATACATTTTGCCTTCAAAACCATGTACTTCACCTATTTTATGAAGTCTTTGCCTTAACTATATCTTCTGCATGGCAGATGTTCAAATATCTAATGCACTAACCTTTTCACATTTTTGATTAGCAGTAGGAAAAAACCTAACCACCCAGGGGTAGACGACAATCCATACCATGTGCTGGCATGTGTATCATTCAGAATCATGTAGATCTATAGTCAGCTGGCAACAGGTAACCTACTAATACAACAGCACTGATTTTTACTGTCACTGAACTCATAAAGTTCATGAAAAAACAGCTTGAAAATTATTATAAAATAACAGGAAATTCACAAAGATTGGACAGTATATGCAGATGAGAACAGAAATCAGAGGGAGGAGCACAGGAGCTATGAAGTATGGAAGATATAGCATGTGGGTTACAGATGAGCAAAAAGAAGGGAACATCATATAGGAAAAAGAAAGGACAGGAAAAATGAAATTAAAAGACGTTATTTCTTATCATTATAAACATCTACGTACCTGATTATTTTCTATTTCCCAGTGAATCACTTGATTGTCAGATCCTCCAGAAACTAATTCAGTAGAAGAAGCTGAAAAAATTATGTCTCAGTAAATATTTTTATTCATGTGATTCCCCCATCTATTTCTAAAAATTTCAAAGCTATGGAAAACATACAATAACACCCTATATTCTATACTCTTTATATATGTATGCACACACGTTTTCCAAACATTTAAAAATAGGTTGCTCAACAGATGAATGAAGACATGATACATGTATCAGGTGTGAACAAAAAATATGCTTCAGATTTTTTAAAATTACTACAGTAAAAGGCACATTATCATTAACCCGTCAAAATGCTACCCTTAGCACTTTTATTCATCATTCTTGCCAGTTTCTGAAGTAGTTTATTTCTTTCAAATAAACACATTACGGTGTGTTCTTATCCACGTTATTCACTAGATCTGGCAGCATTTGACTTCTGGTTCTTCCTCAAAGTCAAAATGACCAAGAAGGTAAAGCATCAAGGCAGTCGCTTCAGTGCAGTTAAAGTCAGTCATAAAAGAAAACTTCCAGGACTGCATGCAAAAGTGGCAAGAACTAGAACTGAGGCACCAGATTTCTGAGCAGAGGTAACGGCAGGGTGGGAAGAGACTAAGGATTTTTTGAGAAGATTTGCCTGAGTACTGCATTTACTCAGTCCTCCTTGAAGTATTGGGAGTGTGGGTTCGCTTGTTTTCCCCAAAGGTGAGCTGTTTCTGAGCATCTTAGGAAATAAGCACACAGCAAGCTCTCCCAGTGTCTGCACTGGGTTGTGTACAAAGCAAAGTACTACAAATTACACATTCCTATTATACCAAGATTGGCCACAGTAATCCCATCAGTGTGTGCTTGGCTTCAACACAGCTGTCGCTTTGTCTTTGTTCTTCAGGCTTGCATCTGCATGAAGGACCCTTGTCTGCCAGGTAGAGGGTCTCAGGTCTGTGCAGGCTTTGCTTCACTTTGCTCTATTGTTTTTTTTTTCCCATGGGTTCAAACTTCACTTACTTTTATTATTTTGTGTGAAATCTGCTACATTATTTTCATTAGCATATATGTGCAATACATAGTGAATATAAAAAAGTGTCAAGAAAGATGGAATATGTGTGCTTGAATTGGGGATGGGGGATCTTGGGGAGAGTTAATCTCAACATGTCTTTTACTATAATTTAAAAAATGTAAACATTCATCATATTTTCTGATCAATGACATACACAATGAAGTATTATTCAGCCATAAAGAATGAAATCCTATTTGCAAGAAAATGAATGGAACTAGGGGGCTGCATGGAAATTGAAATAAGCCAGACACAGAAATACAGGTATTGTATATTTTTTCTCATATGTATAAGTTAAAAAAAAAAAAAAAGACCTGAAAGTAAAATAGAAACTACAGTACTCACTGGGGAGGAGTCTGGGGGTAGTGTGGAGAGGGCAGAGGCTAGAAGAAGGGTGAACAGACATGACCAACACATGTATGTATAAAAATATTACAGTGAACCCATTAATTTATACAATATGTTAATAATTTTAATAAAAAATAAACTGTGAACATTGTGACTGCTGATCCTCAGACTTTTTCATGTAGCTCCTAAACATTTTCCTACATAATCTCAATGGGTAGTGTGGAGAGGGCAGAGGCTAGAAGAAGGGTGAACAGACATGACCAACACATGTATGTATAAAAATATTACAGTGAACCCATTAATTTATACAATATGTTAATAATTTTAATAAAAAATAAACTGTGAACATTGTGACTGCTGATCCTCAGACTTTTTCATGTAGCTCCTAAACATTTTCCTACATAATCTCAATTATCATACTCAAGAATTTTAATATTGATACAGTACTAGTATATAATATACAGTCCATAGTATGATAACCCAAATTATTCTAGTAATATCACTTGTAGCTTGTTTGAATACAGAATCTAAGGATCACACATTGCACATCTTTGCTATCGCCTTTAATCTGGGATAATTTGTTTCCTCCCTTTTTTGTGACAATAGTGCAGACCAGTTGTTTTACACAGTGTCTCTTAATCTGTACTTCTGATTATTTCCCTTTTAGATTCATGCTAAACACTTTTTGAATGAACATTATATGAGAAAGTATAGTGAGCTACTGCTATCAATCTTGACTTACTTTTGAGATTGGATATATACATCAAAATGGTTCTTTTAATATCTACAATTTCATGGGAAAAAGAAAAGAAACAAGTACCACAAAAAGGGGAAATAATATAAATTTGGTGTGGATTTTCTATTCTTTTTTATTTTTTCTGGTGTATGTGCTACACAGTTAGGGGAGGCAGCTGAGAGATAAGAGCATAATTTAAAATTTCATCTAATAAATAGCATTAGACCTGAACTCACAAGTCCCAGATTCATGTCCTAACTCTGCCACCAAACACCTGTGACCAGGCTTCAGTCTCTTACACATCATAGAAACTGAGCCATTTATTTCCATGATCTTGTTGTCCTTGATACAGTGGCCGGAAAGAGTATCTCAATTACTGTATCTAATGATGGAGCCCTTTTCTTAGAGGAAATCAATCATAATAGTTACAGACTGCAGTGCTATACATGTAATTCATTTTATATAGCCTCTTTTTAATTTTTTAAAATAAATTTTATTTTATCTCATCTCCCCCCCCCATCAAGACCGCTTCTCTCCCTATGTATAAAAGCTTTGTTTCCATTTTTTCCTTCTATTTTCAACCATTTTTAAAGGGAAGATGAAATACACAAAGCCAAATTAATATTTTATAGCAAATTCCTATTCTTAAAATCAAGTAGTTTTTTATGTCATATGGTAGCAATTTAATGTAATACAATTGTGTTTTAACAATTGAATTAACAGCCACCCTGTACTATTTAATGTTTTTTATTAATGTGAAACTTGACTAATCCTGCTTTTCCAACTAAATGACTTATTAAACTTTGTTCAATGTCACAGTAAAATCATAGCAAAGTCTCACAAATTGAAGACATTCCCCACCAAGATCAGAATGTTTTCAATAAATGTTTATAGAATGAAAAATTCAGAATCTATAACAATACTACAGTAGGTATTTTTTTTACAGTAGGTATTTTTAAGATAGTTAAGGAACTTCCATTGGGTTTCCAACATACCAATATGTTGGGCCAGGGATTTAGCTCAGTGGTGCTGCCACCTGCCTCTCAAGTGCAAGGTCCCAAGTTTGATCTCCGGTAGCAAAAAAATAAAATAAAATAAAAGCAACCAATATGTTAATTAAGACTCCTGGAGTCAGAGAATCTTAGGAATGGGAGAGAAATAATGCACAATAATATAGTAATTTTACATTTTTTGGTCTCAGGACTCCACTCTTACATTTTCTAAGAATCCCTCTGCAAGGCAAAGGAAACCACCCATACAGTAGAGAAACAATCTATAGAATGTGAGAAAAATTTTGCAAGCTACTCATCAGACAAAGGACTATAGAGCTGGCGTCGTGGTACACACCTGTGACCCCAGGACTTGGGAGGCTGAAAAGGAGGATTGCTGTAAGTTCAAGGTCAGCCTGGGGGCTACATAGTGAGTTCAAGGCCAGCCTGGACTACATAACAAGACCCTGTCTCAAAAACAAAACAAAACAAAACAAAAACCAGAACAACAAAAACTATACCTAGGATATATAAAAAACTAAGAATAATTAGACCCCCAAATTTAAAGACCCAATTTAAAAATGGGCATCTGAATAGACACTTCTTAGTACAAACAGCCAATAAATACATTTTAAAAAGTTTTACTTATCTCTGGCCATTCGAGAAATGCAAATTTAAATGACACTGAGATTCCATCTTACTCCACAAAGTATGGCTATTGTTGAGAAATCAACCAATAACAAACGCTGGAAAGGCTGGGTAGGGGGCCTTTCTTCATTGTTGGTGGGAGTCTAAATTGATTCAACCAACATAGAAATCAGTATGAAGATTCCTTAAAATCCTAAAACTAGGGCTTGGAGGTGTAGCTCAGTGGCTTGGTACCTGCCTGGTAAGCACAAGATCCTGAGTTTGATCCCCAGTACCAAAAAACAAAACAAAACACCTAAAACTAGAAATTTCATTTGACCCAGGTCTTCCCTTTTGGTTATCTTCCCAAAAGTTAAAGACATCATATCTCAGTGATATATGCATAACCATGTTTATAGCAGCATAATTCATAATAGCTCAATCTTGGAAGCACCCTGTATACCATCCACACATGAATGGATAAGGAAAATGAGGTATTTATACACAATGGAGTACTATCTGCCATAGTACTTGAAGTTTAAACTCTAGCCATTTTGTAAGAAAATGTATGTACCTTGAAAAATCATGTTAAGTAAAATAAATCAGACATACAGGCTTGAATATCTCAAGTTTTCACTTATATGAGAAGCCCAATATATAAAGAACAAAATAAAAAGACAGGCAATAGGGAAAAAAAGAAAATGTCATTATCCAGCATGGACAATGTATCTAAAAGTGTACTCTGATTTCATATTATTGTCTTATGCTTTCTGTTTGTTTTGGTACCAGGGCTTGAACTCAGGACCTTGTGCTTATGAGACAGGCAGCAGAACCACTGAGCTAAATCCCTGACCCAGTCCTATGTGTTTTTTATGTTTTTTAGCCTGCTAGTCTGGGTGTTAATCTGTACTTATGATAAATACCTTGATAAGGATATCATTATTTTATAAAATAAATGAATTTGATGATGGCAAAAAAATTTTTTAAAAGGAGGTAGAAGGGAAGGGGGAACAAAACAAATCGAGATGTGTTATGTACATGCAGCAATTTCTCACAATGAATGTAATCATTATGTATTGTAAACATGCTAATAAAAATTTTAAAATGTATTTATTTTTAACAGCCTTATTCTCAACACATCCTATTTTATTTATGAAAACTGAGGAAGTGTAAAAACTTTTAAAATACAAAAAATTAGGGTGGGAATTTAGCTTACTGGCACTGAGCTTGCCTCGCAAGCACAAGGTTCTGAGTTCAATCCCCAGTACTGGAAAATTAATTAATTAATTAATTAAAAATTCTAAGGATCCCAAAAAGGTTTTGATTATATGGACCATATTACTAATTTAACTATATTAGAAGTTAAAATATAAAAATTTGAAAAATGCTTATTGAACAGTTAACTTTAAAATTATGAGGCAGTGGCGCCACTTGCCTGACAAGCAAAATGTTCTGAGTTCAATTCCTGGTACCAAAAACTAAAATAAAATAAAGAGGAAGCCCAGAATATGTTAACACAAATAATACTTTCATAGGAGTGAAAGAAAGCCACAAATGCATTTCAAAACAAAAAATTCATGAGAGACACTGTTTCATATTTCTGCAAATCTCAATGTCTGATTAGATTATAGCTGGATTTTTATATCTGCTTCTGTATTTAATCTGTCACATTATCACACATCTCATATGGCTGCTAGAAAATTCCACTATATAGCTGTGACAGAATATGAATGAAAACTACGACTAATCTTACTATGAAAATAATTTCGACCCGATAAGAATCATGAACCTCTGATCTAGGCCTTTACACACCTTACTTTTTAGATGGTACTACCAGGTGCAGCAAACCAGATTCAACAGAAATGCAATGTCTTGCCCTTACAAAAAACAATAGATTGTCAGTCACAGAAACAGATTTGGAAGCTGAGTCTTCTAAATACCAGTCTGAGCCTACGTCCTACTTATAGGTTTTTAATCAAAGGCTGTGAGGCTTTTGAGGGGTATAGTAGGGGAGGGGACTGCCATAGTCAAAGGGTGTCTCTGTCTTCACCCTAAACACTGCTGTGTTATCTGTGCTTCAACTGCTACAAACTGAAAAGACAGGTCAGATATTTCACTGGACATACCTTTTTTATTTTATTTTCAAACAAAAAACTGCATAAGGTAATGCTAGGTTAAGAGATAGGTTAAAGTAAAATGATTAACTATTCTTTCTCAGAAAATAACTGAGATCAGCCTTAACAATCAGGTTAATACTTACAGCCGTCTTGTTTACAAATCCACTGTACACAATTGACTCGAGAAGTGTGACCACTCAGGTTGGTAACAACTACCTTTTTCTTAAGAGAAGAAAATAGTAATTAGTACATTTATACTACATAGGAAATAGAAAATTAATAAAACCAGATTTCTGTATTTTTGACAGTAATAAGATTGGAGTTACATCAACATGGTTGCCTCCCTTGACTGGTAAAACTTTTTATTAACTTTTTCACTCACTCTAGATCATTCCTACTTTTAAACATGCTCCACATTCCTCATGTCTTATGTTGTCATTATACTGAGCTCTCAGGTTTGCATCTGCCTAGATCAGCTCACTCTCCCACTGTGTTCACATACTTCTTCCTTCTCACCTTGACACTTTTAAACTAGAGAAGCATCATTTTCCTTGTGTTCTACATGCTTCAGGGACTAACTACTTTTACTATGCTTGCATGAATTTGGGGGGTTTTATTAACAAAAAAACCCTTCAACAGTGGAATTCATAATGATATAAAAATTCATGGTTCACTTTCATGTCATGGGTAATCAGGTGGCAGATTCTTCAGTCCTAGTGAAACAAGATCTTGAAGCCACAACCTCTAAGCTTCTCTTACATATCAGATGCCTGCAAGGTGTTCCAGGGTCCCAACAGATCCTCAGCCTGCTGCTTTTACCAAATCATACATATTTGAGCATCCTTCCTTCACTCACTGCTGAAGATTTTAATTTTAAGACTTCTGTACTTACTTCCTTGCAGCTCTTCTCTCTGTTGTGAACAGCACTGGCTTTATGTCTGCTTATATGCCAATCAGAACTCTCATGGTTGGGGAAAAGGGATACAGAGGCAAATATATAGACTAATATATTTCACACAGGGCTGTGGTTCAGAAACAATTTGCTGTATTCCATTTTCTCTCCCACTAAATTAAATTCCTGAACAGGAAGGGGTAAATACACATTATCTTCTGCCATCATCATCTACTCCATAGAGCACTAGTCCATAGAGTTCTTAACACTAAATAAGCAAAATTTCCAAAACTTCCTTTTAACATCTAACCTGCTCTTATTCCTATATTTAAACACCTAAGCAGTAAATATTTAACAAAAAAGTACTTTTTTTATATGCTTAAATCCCCTAACGTGGCCATTAACAGTAAAAATGTGATGGAAAGCACTGCGACAAATCTGCTACAAAGATGGGCTTTCATCTTTTTTTAAAAAAAAGAGGTTTAATTTGGATCACGTCTACATTTCATCTTTCATTCTGAGACTCCTATTGAGATGCAAGAATAACTTTATCATCCCAGCCAACCAGGAGAAATGATATCACAGGAAAACCTAGATAGCATGCAAAACTACTCACTGGAGAAGTTTGGTAGGGAGAGTGGTAATTTTTGTAAAACTGACAAACTCAGGGAATGGATAACTTCTGCCTTAAAACCAGTGCTTAGGATCCCCATCTCCTATGAGCCTTTCCCAAGTGACAGTCTTTAAACTGCGCATTCTCCTAGATAAAAAATCGATAATATTTCTTTGAAATTCAATACAGATTCTTTAACCAACACTGAGGGAAATACAGAGCTGAGATTCCATCTATGGGATGATGGCTTTAATTCATACCTAAATTTCAATTATTTAAAATCCCAAATTGATACTTGAATAGTGCTACACTTCGTGGAACGGCTTCAGATAAGGATCTCCTCGTCTGGTTTCAGCGTGGGGCTCACATTCCCGGGCAGGACACGGGCCACTGGGACCCCTGACTAGCGACTCGCTCACCGGGGACTCCCTGCAAAGAAAGCTTCCTTCCCCGGGCTGATACACAGCCACCGGCTCTCTGGGCTCTGCCTGGCAATTTATAGCCCCGCCCCCAAGGGTGCCCAACAGGTTCGGCCACTGCAGCACAGGGGATTGGACACTCAGCTATCCTTTTACCTGAGGGTCATAGAGAACCACGGAGCAGGACGTGCCAAAGGCCAGAAGTCCTCCGGGCCCAGGGCTCCAACTCACGGCTCCCCGCACCCGATTCGGGCAGCAAAACACGTGAGCAGCCTCTAGCACAGGCACCACCATGACGCCAGCTGGTCAGCAGCCGAGATCTAAACGCGCACTTCCGCCCAGGGAGCGGAACTACTCCCGCAGCAACCTCTTGGGCGGTGTTAGCGGGTCCGCGCTTCAGAGGAGCTGGGGGCGGGACAGAGGCGCCC